GCGCTTGACAAGAACACGGTGGTGGACGCGACGCCTATCTTTTTCAACGGCATCAACGGATGTCCGTACGCGGGTTTGACCGCGGGTATCTCGCAAGCCCGAGCTAAAGCGTTCTTGTCGGAAGTCGAAGAAACGTTGTTGTTGGGGATGGTGGCGGAAGCAAAAGACATCGGCGTGCACCCAGTCGTCCAACTAGGCGAGTGGGGATACGCCGTGAGCGAGAGGCGGAGTAGAACTTGCGAACTGGACTGGGCCCATGTGAAGTACGACAAGGGTGACGGCAAGGGCAAGGGCAAGGGCAAGGGTGCGTCGAGGAGGATCACTGCTGCCCGGGGCTTGGTGTGCAAGGTGAGGGTATTTGCGACTGGGAAGCTTGCGATAGTTCTTGAAGCACGGAACGAATATGGAATACGTCGCTGTGTATTGCGCTGTGTGTGGCTTAAATGCCACGCCAGCCGACTAGTGGTTTGTGTTATTATCGGCCTTGGATGTCTCACATATTGAATGTCTCGAAGTTTGAGGCCGAAAAGTGAGGTTTTCAGGAGAATTGCGTGGTCGCACTTTGAGTTCTGTTACACCGGGTTGATGGCTCCAGAGGAGTGCGTTCGCTACCGTGTATTGGCAGTCAAGTGGTAGACCATTCCAACGATATATCCTGCCGTCTTGGGTTTTCGTATGTGCCGGAAAAATGATCCACAATATTTGTGCTACCGTAGTCGACGGTGCCGTACCGGATGAACTTAGCCTCTTAAATTGTGCTCCCTCGAGGGTAGACACAAAGGTGGGTAAGGGTTATTTTTCCACGTGAATACGCCGGGGGTGGATCACCCCTGGAGAGAACAGAAAAAAAGACTCTCATTCACACACTCTGTGTTCCCGCAATGGAGAAAATACGCGAGCAAGCGTTCGACGGATGACGGGTACCGTCCAAACACTGTATGTCCTCTGGGTGCGTCAGCACTGATGCGTTGTGATGGTGAAATGCTCGTTAAAGATCGTCCGAAAAAAAACGGGGGGAATTCACAATAATGGCGGAGCGTGTACTTACCCCGGGGGTAGATTTTAAGGGGGGGGGGGTCTAGAAAGGGGGGGGGGTCTAGAAAAACGAGCACCCCCGGGGGTACGACAACGTTTTGACAGCTTTTTGCCGAAATGAGGGGGGGGGGGGGTACGACATTGTGCTCACATTGTGTGTGGGGTAAGCACCGTCGATTGCGCTATTCTCAAGGTACCGCCGTTTGATACCTTGTCCAATCTAATATCCCTCCGCAAAATACGTTTGCACCAATGCCATATGCATACATCGCACATGTACCCGGCACAGGCAAACCGGGGGGGACCCTGTAGCGAGTACGAGCAGAAGAACCGAAAGTGTCTTCACACGTTGGTGGTCGCCCTGGCGCTTTGGCAAGAGGAGGGTATGCGAGATGAAGGGTTGGGTGTCGGGCAGGTAGACGTGGATGGAGGTAGAATTCCAGACGGAACGCCGCGCACGGCGCAGAAAATGCTCGACAAGGATGCACCGGCGTATCGCAAGGGCTTGGCAAACTGCCTGAACACCATGTCGGTCTACAAGTTCCCGGAGAATCTCCCTTTCGGCCTGGGACGTCGTGGTGCCACCACGAACGCAAACGCCAGCATCACTTACACTACATCTCAGAAGACGTGTTCAGGGTGTGGTCGTGACTTCCCTACGGAGAATCAGCATACCGTGGTTGCAACTCGGTTGACAGAGGTGAGTGCAGCATCTCTGTGGGAACTTGTGGCAGTACCCTGCTCAGCATGCGGCTCGCCTTGTGGATGCAAGTGAAGTCGACAGTGTGTGTGCCGGAGGCAAACATTTTAGAATCCCCCACCCTCATCCACTCCTGGGCAGGCTACAAATTTGTCCTGCGCCTGCACTGTCCTGGCTGCCTTTGAGTTGTTTCTCTTGTTGTGGTGGTGCTTGTGGCAGCATTCATGCTGTTGGCGCCGGCGGTCGAGTACCATGTTTGATGGCAGCAGAAATCAGAGAAAATAGCGTGGGCACCCCCACGTGTTGTTTGTGGGTGTCGACAGGCCGTGCACACTCTCTCGAATGCTCATTAAAGAGGGGGGAATCGGTGGCAATCGCCCGACCTTCCCCAAAATCCTGGAGTTGCCATCCTGAACGAAACCGCTGGTGATCATGCGAGATTTACCCGCCGAGTACGATATATCGGTCTGCTAACAATATGCTATGTGTGTCTTGTTGCAGGGGCCAGGCATGTCGAAAGTGAACGTGCACACAAACGAGTGTGAGACGTGCGGCATCCACGGATTGGCCAGTGACAACTGGCGGGAGACTGGTTTGTTCAATTACAACAACCGCTACCTGGTGGAGCTGTCTATCCTGTACAGATGCCTGGAGGCGTTCACCAGGGGTACGACTATGAGCCCCTTCTTCGAGACGTTCTTAGAACCTTTGGCGGGTGACCTGGTCTGGATCAAGGCGAACCCGGATCTCAGCAAAAAGTAAATGTAATGTTCCACGTTGCTATATAAATGTGTCCGTCAAGACCCACCTATTATAGCCATCCTTCTCACCAATCACTGTTTAGCTAGGCGTGTCTCGCAGCGAAAAATATGGCATCGTCGCATTGGATACCGAAACTACCCGGGCTCCTCATTTCGCACAAACTCAGATAATAATCGATCCTGTTTTCGAATTCGGTCTCCTTGTAAGCTGGCGTTCTGAAGATCTTTTCTGTTTCCCGAATTCTAGGCACCACCCATTGCACCATTTTCCCTGCGAATCTTCAATATTAGGAAAAAAATCCGTAGTGCCCACCCTACTCTGCTAGCATGCGAAGCGGTTCGTTGTTGTCGAAAAATGTGTTGATATTGCATCGAGGGGGGGGCTTCGTGCAGGCTTATTTTCTTGTTGAATTTTGAACAGGATGTGTGTAGTGCCAAACAACCGCATTTTGCCGACGATTTTTTCTTCGTGCATGACCTCCACGTCCAGGCTCGCAAACGGCACCAACTTGCTCAACGTGCTCAACAACATTTTCTTGGCGTTCCTGGCCCTCATCGACCACACTTTCGAGTTTCGGTGCTGGATGTGGGGGAAATTTCCGCCGATCCTCACTTTCGACGCCTGCATGAAGATCGCCTGCAACTTCGTGACTCTGGGGCAGGTGATCGCGTCGAGACCCGAGCAAGACATCAACACTGACCTCGTCATGAATCTTCTGCAGTTGAGCATGGTATCGCCGGCCTGGTTCGGCGGCACAAGGGTACAGTTTGTGGTCGGGGCCGGGGAGACGGTTGGAAACGCGCCAGCGTGGGTGTCGCCAGACATCCGACTGTCGGAGATCTTCCACAAGACACAGCGTGGGGTGTTGCAGGGAAGCAACAACACCGCCTTCGTTGAGCAAGGCAATGGCGCTCTCCTTGTCGAGAGGCTGGAGGGGAAGGCGATCGGTGACTTGTCCGGCATGAAGGTGGCGACCCTGAAAGGCCACATGAAGGCCTGCTGGCCCGATGGAGGCGTTTCAAAGTGAGTGCAGAGTCACGGCATAGAGAATTAGAGTGATAAAGTGGTTGTGGTCTGCGGGCTCAGCTACGTGTGGGTGTGTGCCTTCAAGAACAACTGAACGCACGACCGTGTATGCATGGGCGCAGATTTGATCGCCTGCTTTGGCATGAAACGTTTTTCGTTTTTCATGTGGCGGGTCGGGGGTCTTGTGTCCCCGGACACGCCTGTATACGGCTGCCTCCTTTGGTTCTCTTTGTTCACCACCCTACCTCCGCCTCCCCTCTATTTCAAGCCGTTTATTTTTGGCTTTCGGGTGTCGAGCGAGGAGTTGTGTAGCAGAACAGCAGCCGAATGTGTTTGGTCTGGGAAGCAACCCACTCTCCCTCCAACGCGTAGAGGTTGACCCTGGAAATTGCCTGAAAAATGCCTGGATCGTTTCGTGGGCTAGCTATCCAGTTTTTCGATGTACATGTGGAGAGCATGCCCTCATGTGCTTACGAGTTATATTCCTCACAAACAGTACCCCTTGCCCTTTGTGTACATTCTAAACCAGAGATCAGAAATTTGCCCGTACAAGTCCAACGAGTTGAGACGCTGTTGATGTTGTTCGGAACCATCAACCATTTATTGGCGTGCGTCAGTTAGTAGGCGGCTGTTGAACGACGCGTGTTGTCCGGCCATCGCAGTATGGCTGTATTCCTCTTATGCTCTATTGCGTCGTGTGCCATTTTTTCTTTTTTGCTTGGAGGTTCTCGACCAAGGAGCCGATGGTGTCGATCCTGCAGCAGCTGCACTCATTTTGGGAATCAGATGGCAACCCCAACCGCGGGTCTTGCTCGAAGCATTTCGTGAGCCGAGAACGTGGCGTTTCAGAAGGGGTGATGGGCGTCTTCACGCCGAACAAGGTCATGGTTATCCACAAGGTGCTGCTTACTGCGGAGAGTGCGGTGGACATGAGCGATTGCGTAGGGGCTTGCCAGGTGAGAGGACGTTTCTGTGGGCGATGCCTCTCCGTTGTGTTCAGCGGGACTGTTCAGTTGGAATCACATGCCGGCATGTACGTTGCCTTGCCTTGCCGAGAGAGACATCAAACGTTCAGTTCATATATGATGCTCAGTGCGATGTAGGTTTGAGTCCTCTAGGGCACGAAGGAGCCGTGGTTGTTACATGACTGGGCCAAAGGATCTCGTGTTGGAGAGCGTAACTGCATAAAGCACGAGAGCAATGCCGATGTAGGAATAATGTGCGACCCACGAAGGTACGAATTTATCATCACTACTATGGTACCTGAAAACAGTTATCCCGCACACCTAGGTTGCCCTTCGCGCCCCCGGCGAAGGGCCGAAAACAATACTTGTTTACAATTTGCTTTCGTGGTGTGTAGAGCCCACTTTACGCAAGCCGCATATGGGGGGGCCATCGTGTGCTACTAGTGTATTCGTTTCACACACACTTTGAGCGGGTTAGGTGGTCCAAACGTGCTACGTGTCCGTTTTGTGGTCATGACTCGGATGTTCGCAAGAGTAGATCCTAGCTCGCGCATTGGGGTACCCGGACGCAAACCTAGGTCCCCCAGCGAGGCGCGCATGGTGTTAGAGGAATTGGAACCCTCGAAAGTATACCCCCCCCCCGGTGTTTGCCATCGGGGTTGTGTTTTCGTCGCGTGACAACGACGTTGAAAAACAAGCCCATCACTTCGTAAGCTCGGCAACCAGGTTACCGCTTTTTTGTTGCCTTTGTTTTTTTTGCGGTAACCATGAATGGTGGTCGAGCAGAGTTATGTTGTGCGGGGTTGAGAACTCTCACTCCGCGCAAAGGGGCTAATCGCAACACGTTGTGTTAAATTGGTCAAACACCCTCGAGGCAGTTACACCGTGCTTACAGCTGTCTCTGGAAGTGAAAGCACCAGAAATAAATTAAGTCATACGCAGCTGTCATCCGGACGCACGGAAGTAAGCACAAGATGCCGAACACCCCTAGCAGGATGCAGCGCACCCTTCATGTGACTCGCCGAATACCTCACGGCGCTTCGCGCTTGGTGATGTGAGAGCCTGGTCCGGTGAGAACCCGGCGCGCTCCGTCCTGGCTGTGTAGGGATGCGAGGTCAATGGTCTAACGACTACGGCATGCACGATTTTGAGTACACCCCCCCCCCGCTCGAAAGTATCCAAAACATGAACACGTGGACCTACTACGTGTGGCGAAAATGTAGGTGGATGGCTTGATTGACGTTAACCTGACTTGAAACATTTCCTGGAGTAATGACAACGTCACGATGACCACGCGCGAAATAGAAAACACTCTAGCTGGCAAGCGCCAACGCTCACAAAGAAGGTTCAAATAGCAGGACTTCTTGCGAGGGAGTAAAGGAACGACGGAGAGCATGACATACTTGTCACTAAAGTAACTACCTGTCGCCGTTGCTTCTACTCTGCTTGGTGTTTGAGGAGTACGTTGTTAGGTAACGTGCACCCGCCTACGCTTGGATCGGACAAACGTCCAAACCGCACTCTGTCCCTGACTCGTAGGCGATGTGTTTGTCGGTTTGGTTTAACTTCCGCCTTTGCCGTTTTCCGTGTTGCCTGCCCTTTGCCAACATGACAGCAAACGCCGGTTCTTGGGGTGTACGATGCCGGATGCAAAGCGGTGGCGCACATGGAAAAACACCGCCCGGGGGTCCTTCAAAACCGCGGGAGACCCACTCGGCTTGGCGACGATGGGGTCGGGGGGGGGGGCAGCGGGCACAGCAACGCTGCCGCAAATGACACCGAGGACGGCGAGCCCGCAATCACACCACGCGTCTTCTTGCCGGCGTTGGCGCACCTCGGCAGCAACAGCGCAAGTACCACCGTCGAAGCACCGCAAGTTTCTCTACCTGTACCACCTAAGAGAGACAGCAAAGTCGACGTGTATGCCCTCAAGGCTGCTGCCGTGGGCGATCGTGTGCAGAGCCAAGTAAACGTCTACGACCTTCTGCACGCGTCAGCCGAAACACAGGGGCCAGTACCGAAGGCCGTTAACTTGGCGGCCACGAGAGCTGTGGCAGCTCTCCGGGAGGCAGGAATTCGGGTGCTCTCCTTGTTCGAGGTCCTCGTCTTCACGTACGTCTGGCTCCGAAACATCGCCGAAGATGAACCAGGCATGCTGGAGTTAGGGGCTACCGGGTGGACCCTGCGAAGGCCTTCCCACGGAGTATTGCCTGTCGGGACCACCGCTGAGAGCGTGGACGCAGTCAGCACTGGTGACGCCGAAAAGTACTTGCGGGAAGTGCTGGTGGTTGCGCGCGGGGCCAGGAATGGAAAGGGCGCATGCTTGCCAGATTGGTTTGGTGCGGGGGATTTCGTGGACGGTGACACTTCAACCCTCTACGCTACCCAGGTGGACGGGTTGCATGCATACGCGGCGGTGAGTGCATTTATGATCAGATGATTTAGCAGCCGGAGGTTGAGTACACCAACCTCTTTCCTTCTCTTGATCATTGCATCGGTATCTCCACCTTTCTGAGAGCACTTGGGGTAAGTAATTCGGCGTTCGGTTTTCGGTTTGCCAATCATTGACTTTGCCCACGGGTGGACGAGCACTGTTCAGCGGTTTCAAAAACGAAGGCTGTATCCATCCCTCCACACAATTCATCCCTCGCTAGCCCTCTAGAGTCTACCCTGCAGAATCGCTTGCCTGGGATTCCCAGTGCGTCGGGCCGTTGGTAAATTGGGTTAGAGCCGCCTCCTTCCTTCTCTTTCCATATGTACGCGTGGTGATATTTGTGGTGTGTTCGAACAGCCACCCTTTGCCCCGTCTGATTGTTGCTGCAGTCAAAGTAAAAGGTCGTGGTCGAGAGGTGCACAAACTCTGCTTAGTGGCTCCAAAATCGAAGCTCCCATCTACCCCTCCAAATAATCCACCAGTCCCGAGCCCTCTAATATAGAGTTTCGCCTGTCGAAGTGCGCGCCTTCGTTTTCCTCTGTGCGGTGTGCTGTTGTTGGTTTGAAACGCATAGTCAGAATTAAGGTGTTGTCGAACAGCCACTCCTTTACCTCGCGTGCGGACTGCTGCAGGCAAAGACAAAGTTCATGGTCGACGGAGTACAGCCGATTGGCGAGAAAGAGCGCAAGATCGCAGGTGTGTCTCATGATGGTTTTCTGGAGGGCTCGTATTCTCCGTTTCGTTGAAGGGTGATCGATGTCGGGCATCCCCAGGCTTACATGACATGGGTCGATGCGTGTTGGGTTGCGTGGTTCGGTTTACAGCTGATAACCTTCACAGCATGAATCATGAGCACTTCTGTGTCCATCCATTCGCTAACGCTTGACGCTCTTGCCGTGGTCGTGCAACTTCCAGAGAGTGCCATTCGCTGCGGCATCGGGTGTGGAGACGGTGTATACTCCATCATGGCCCTTCAGATTGCACTGGCGGTGGACGTCCCCCCGCATGAGAGCGCGGAGAACTTCAAGGTGGCCGGGTACGATTGCGTCTGGCATGACACCACCTTCGACGACAAGTCGTCCGAGCACGCCAAATATAAGATGTGGCAGTCGGGGATGTTTGTGGGCCCAGACGGACCTCACGAGAAGAACCACAGCAAGGAGTGCCAGCGGCAGTACAGTGGTTTCACGACATGTGATGAGCTTGCCGGGATCAACCTGAACCCCCACGAACAGGACCATTCGAAGAAGGCGTTGTACCTTCGATCGCTCAATACCATGACATTTTCCAACTTCACTTTCACGCTAAGGGTGATCAACGAGCGCCAAAACCAGGGGTTCAACAGAGAAACCCTGAGGACGCTTTTAGCAAGTGTCACGGAACACCCAAAAGATAGCTTTGCTGGCTGTGAAGCCGCCCTGTGGAGGTGCGGCAGGTGCTTTTGCGGGAAGCCCGTCATGCGCGTATTCGACTGCCTGGGGAGGGTGGACATTGTCATGCTTGCTACGGTGCTGGGGTCGACCGCTTGAGTATAGCAGAATGGGGGAAAACATGGTAGAGTATTGTTTACGTTGGGATTGTGCCTTAGAGTTGGAGGTGGGCGAAAGTCAGAAAGGTATCCGATTGATAGTTCGGCCGGGCAGGCGTTTTGTAATTTCTCGCATGGGACCTATTTAGTGTTTAGTGGACGTGCAAGGTGCATGTGCGAGGTATTGGAATGTATTATGTTTGTTGACGGGTTGACCACCGACCGCCAAACCCTTGCTAGTGCCACCACTTTCCGCTTAGCGTGTACTCCACAGTCGGTTTCGTGTGTTTGCGGATTTCAACCCGTGTTTAGGGTGGGTGATGCACATGGTGGCGATCAAATGACGTCTTTCAGGGTACACGCCCGTTGTGTACAGTGGTAGATTCAGATTGAGTGGGTCTGGTGTTGTTTCGCCTTGTTGGGCCCGTGGTGTGCGTGTCGGTCCCCGTGGTGTGCGTGTCGGTCCCCGTGGTGTGCGTGTCGGTCCCCGATGCAGCGATGCATCGTGCAGCGAGAGTGTTTGTTAGGAGCTGAAATTTATCGAGCATTTTTGTCCTCCTCTGCCTGTGGCCCCTGTTTCGCGTGCATGCTGTATTGTACTGTGGAGCGGGCCTATACCAGGGGCCAGGCCACAACGCTTCTGGTGTGCGTATGTTCACATGATACATTCTTCAGGGTTGTCGTTGGTGAAACAGAGGGACATTTGCACTCGAATAGGTGTGAAAACAAACGTTTGCACTCGATGAGGTGTAAAAACAACGTGGTCAACAAACACGGGCGTTGTTGTGATTGCCGGAAATGTGCCATAAGGGTACCCAACTCAGGTTGGACATCCACAATCGCCCAAGATTTCTTCTTGCCCGACTCGTCGAGGTAGTCGGTGGGCACGAAGACTACTGTTTTTCTGGGTAACGTCGACCGGAACACGTTGGAAATGGGTGCGCGCCCACCCGCGAGTGGGGGACCCGGGCGGCATCGAAGAAGTGTCGGAATTTTTTCGGATTGAGATGGCCCCCGAAAGGGAGCCGCGTGATCAGTATGAGTGCCGGGCCCAATCCTTCTTGTTCCACACCGGTGAATGGGTGTACCCAACGTTGGGAAAGAAAAATAATGGGAGAAATCGCCAACCCAAAGAGTAATGGCGTTTTTCTTGGGAGGCCGTACTGCTGGTGGCAACCAACCCTGTTTTTTTGTTTGTTTAGGGCCCTTTCGCGAGTTGTTCTATGCATACCATGCGATGCATACGACCTGGAACAAACGACCTGATGTACATCATATCGATGGGACGGTCCCCGTTTAGTTCCCATTAATGATGCGGACGCCTTCCGTCGTCACCACACACCAACACCAACTATTTACCATATATCACAGAGAGGATAAGACAACTCCCCACAGATGATCGACTAAATTTCTCTCACCAAGCAACGCACATACGGGGATGGTGCAAGGGACAAGATGTAGACTTAGCGAGTAAGGCTCGGCGGTGCAAGGGATAAGATATTGACTACTGTACATGTACTATCACGGCGCTCCCGTACGTGACCACGGTGGACTTGACCACGGTGGACTGCGAGGTGCCAATAATCTCCAAATAAATTATAACACATCACCATCATCATCGAGTATGTATGTAGTACATACAATGACAAATGTGGTGTAGTTGACAACAGTAGCCATCTCCATGTATGTACGAATACATGGATGGGGAGGGTGCAAGGACGAGGATATCGCAATAAGGTCACACGGCACACGGCGCGCGGGTATACGGTAGCACTTTTATTTGGTAACCGGCGAGCTGTTCGCTGCCCCCTGGAGTTACAGCAGTATTGCGCTGCCAGGCAAGCTCCGAGGATATTGTTGCCCACAAACAAGCTCCAGCTCATGGACTTCCCGTTTACACTCAGCCGCGCCGTCCCCCCAACGACCGACTTGTCCGGACGTCTAGATATAGACTACCTACCAGCAGCCAGCCGACAGCTTCGCTAGCTCCGTAGATACGTATGCAGCAGGGAAGCTGCTGCGACCAAACCACAACAATGGGTACTCTGCAGGCAGAGAAGGAACCTGCTCCCTGCCCCTGCTACCATCACTGTGACTGATCGCACAGAACCAGCAGTAGCAGCTCAGCAGTAGTAGTACACCTAGCCTACCCGAGCTGTACCCGAGGGAACAGCTCCTGAGCGTACTGTACTACCAAACCAACCAGCGTAGAGCAAACGCGGCGCGTTGTGCGCCGATGGATGCGGGGCTACAGCAATCCTGTCCCCTTATTATTCTCACATATGTACGGCCATCACCTTCCTCAACTCCCTTTTCAAAATATTGGAACCACGCGGTTGATTTCCTCCTAATATATCCTAGTCTAAATCCTATATGTTACTGGGGTTGGGTGGTGAAGGCCCCTCGAGTAAGTTGAGGAAGCTGGCCACCAGAGAGAGTGGAGGTTCGGCAGCACTCCTGTGCTTATTTACCATGATCCGACTTCAGGCCCTTCCGAGCAGCCTGCTGCTGAACGCAAAATTGCAGCATCTGTTCCGCAGAGCTCAGTTTATTGTTATGCTATTGTTTCTGCTTTTTTATCCGAGAGAGATCGTGCCTACTGGCGATATGCCTCACACGTACCAGGTAGACTACAGGTGTCGACTAGGATCTTAACAGTTGGAGAAGAAAAACATGGCCACGGAACGATTGCCTTGTGATAGAACTTGAAGGCATTGGCCTAAGACAGCAGTAGCAGGAAAATAGTCCGTGCAACCCTGAGCGGCTCGCCCAAAGTTTATACCGAAATCAACTAGAGCCTGGCACCCCGACTGCATGATACGAGAGAAAGACAGATTGACGTGTTGCAACAGAGGCGTATTCGATAAATGGCGAACCATTAGACTACTTGCAGAGTCAAGCGCTGACTTCTGTGCAAGTAGTCTGATGGTTCGCCTTTATGCCGGAGATGCCTACTACCACTGGCCCAGCTGGGAGGCTGAGAGCCAAGAGTATATCTTTTATTTCCACAAAGGTGAACCATTACATAGACTACTTGCAGACTCAGCCGTTGGATTACTTGCTGACTGCAGAGTCAGCCGTTGACTCTGCAAATAGTCTGTGTAATGGTTTGCCTTTATCGAAGAAGGCCGTCAGGGGCCTTCGGTTCCCCGCGCTCCGACAAGCACAAGGCACAACAGCGTGCGTCGATGGGCTACATGGACACGTGCGCTGTGATCCTTTCCGTCCAGTTTCTATGCATCAGCCCCAAGCTTGGCCTCTACTGCTGTGCGACTAAAGCAAAGTATATTTTGGTGTCCTTTCAAATGACAACAGGTGCAGCGCCACCCCGGTGAGACAAACAACCTCCTCGCCGCTGCGCTTCCTCGCCGCGGCCCATGCGGTAGTGCCATGGGCCTTCCCTGGGTACCACGACGAGTCCCATGCCTGGCTCAAGTTTATCGATGAGACAAACGTTCGGTACTACGCGGAGCTCAGAGATGTAAGTTGTTGTTGCAATACAGTTTGTAGGAAAATTCGAAACTTCTTTCTTTTTTTGCATGTGTGTAAAAAGAGAGCTGGGCTTGAATGAAGAGGAGGGTTCCGCGACATCACAGCAGATTACAGAGGCGCGGCGCAAGGTATGTGCAGGCAGTTTTCTGCCTGTAAGCTCGCACCAAGTCTGGGTGCATTATCGCACACATCTCGTTTCGCGAGCAGTGCTCACGTACGCTCAAGATGCGTGAGTTCGCCGAGGCTTGAAAATAGTCCCGTGCGAGGCACGCATGTCCGCGCGCAGAATGCACGAACAAACCACGCGTTTCGTTTGACTAATTGCACGGTATTCATCGGGATCGGGAGGATGCACTCGCCTTCATTCGTAGGACCACTACTCTGCGCTCGCTTCCGTCTCGTCCTCTTTTCCCAGAATCCTTCTCCACCTTCCCCTCTTTGGCTTTGACGCACAAAACGACCGCGCCTAACACTCCGCCCTGTTTCACGTCCCATCATCACCAATACCGCCACCTCCATGGCGCCCCCCCCCCGCCAAAACAGCCCTTCACAGGGGTTGTTCTAGCCCAACACGAGCTCGTCAGCCTGGCCAGACACCCGTCCCGAGACATGGCCGCGCTCGGCCTCAAAGGCGGCGATGACGGAGACGGGGAAAGCCGATTCCTCCGAGACGTCGGCTCCAAGGGCATCCCTTTCTCCCCGCTACTCCCTGCGCCGACGCTTGATCGACCCATCGGAATCTCTCCGCATCGTCGGGTACGAGGTTCGGGAGCAGCCGGGGGGGCTCGGGCAAGGGGAGGATCCCGGGATGATGATAGTTCGGGCCAAGGGGGACTTGGCGGCGCGGACGGCGATGCAGGCCTTTGTGGGGACGGAGCACGCGACTCTCAACCCGGGAATGTGCGGCGCGGCGGTGCTGGACAGCGATTTTGAGCTCTGCGGGTGCGTGGAGGGCGTGGTGCCGACGGCTCCCCCCGAGGCGGAGGTGGAGGCCCACGTTAGGGCCTTGCAGGGCATGCCTTGCGTGGTGGAGTGGAAGGACTTGGACACGCTCTTGACGGCTACGATGGGCGACAAGGATGATGGTGATGCTGCGGGCAGTGGCGGCGACGTCGGCAAACAAGACGCGTGAGATTGTGTTTTGGATTTTGTTGACGGTGACAGAGAGGAAACGGCGAGCGTACGAGGATGAAGACGAATCTGCTGGTGTACAGAGGAGGGGTAGTGATGACGGGGGCTTGGCTACTGCGTTCCACACATGTCTATATCGCTCGAATCTTGTGTCCACAGTTGTGTCCTGTTCGTTCAAGCCGGTACCGAGTGCCAACATAGCATGCTTTTCGCTCGTGGGAGTGTAGCGACGGCGCTGAAAGTGGAAGCCTAGATCTGTCTACAATGGGTTCGAGAGGTGGGGCCTGGTATGTGATGGGATAACAAACACGCGGCCACATAGACGTGTGCGCCTATAAAGGCTTTGGTCAGACCAAAAACATACCAGATGGTGGCGCCCGCAATGTTCTTCACATCTTGATTATCCTCTTACTTTCCTCTGTATAAATTCCAAAGGGCTAATTCCCGAAAACCCGAACATGGCCCGGAACATGATCCCGAAAAACAGATTGCCCGCGTGCGAACTCCCGTCCGCCCCCCAGAAAAAGTTCGAGTAACCACTGGTGCCGGGTACGCGATGGGCCAAAATTGTGTTTCACGTGCAACGGGAAACAGGCTTACCCCACCCCCCGCCGTCACCTTTCCTGCTTCCCCATGTCTTGAATGTCCTCGTTCAGGCGAGAAACTCGGCCGAAGAAACCACTCTCCAGCCGGGAAGAGGCGCAATGATGAGTAGTCCCGGCCTTTGTTAGGGAAAGCTTTGTGTCGGCGTTTGTCAGATAGGCAGTCAGGTTTTACTAGGCGGCCACTGCTGTTTTACAGGTTTTTAGGTTGCGGAAGGATGTGCGCTGCATTCTCATGTGTTGTATGCATACGTACGAGCTTATCCTCGAGTTGATTGCAGTAGGCGCCCCGGTTCTTCAAAAGCGCACCTTGTGATACGGTTTCGCTGCGGGTTGACGATCGCCATGGGACGGTGCGTGCCCTGAACGTCCTGCACCACCTATCTGGTAGAAAGCTTGTGCAACAACGTCGAGTGGTGCGTGGCTTAACTGGTTAGGATGCGGGTTGACGTAGCTTCGTTGGTGGTTTCAGCACAGTAGCTCACGGAATTGGCCTCCAAGGACCCCCAGTTGCTTTCGATTATGTTCGTGTGATGTGTCAACCCCTCGTCGAGTCGAAAGCCCTGCTTCCCTGAAGCGTTCGTAGTGTTTTTTTTTAGCCGCAGCAGAAACCCCAATTGGGGAACAGAGATGTCTGCCAACATGAGGGAAATGACAGATCGTTCTTCATCGAGGAGCGAGTGCTGCCGTCGGTGCAATATTTTGTCAATTGGCACAAACGTATGCTTGCACGATCGATGGGGGCATGGCAACACAACAAGTGGGTTGACACGGGTTTCATGAGGAGTGCAAATCCGGAACTCAACCAAAATGTTCCTTAGTTAGGCACATGTACAATGATACCCGCGTCAATCCTGGTTCCTATACCTCGTTGGCCAGGGGGAGAGAACATTTATTCTTTGAGGACGTTGGTGCTGTATGCTCGAGTGAAAACCCAGAGCAATCGCACCACACATACGCCCCTTGTACAGGCGAGCTTTTTACGGCCGCGTGATGCCTCGGATGTGATGCCTTGAGCATCAGGTGCCTAATAGTCACGGTTCACTGCCCGCCACTGATAGTACTTCATAATCCCTCATTTTCCCAATGATGCCACAGAGTAGTGCCGCCATCCTTGTTGCACGCGACAAAGCCACACCTATCGGAGGGAGGGATGGATTCGCTTCGCGCATCAATCGCGAAAACTCGTTCTGGTAAGGTATATTGTACTCACAAGGGACACAGGGTACCGCAGCGAACAGAGGTTGCTCCACGCGCGTGCATTATGTACTCTATAATTGGTGTTGACCTCACGTTGTTGGTGTGTTGTCGCGTGTACTTCGTTATCACGCTCGCGGCTCTTGTCGAGAGGATTCCTGCACAGAAAGGATTGTGACTCAAGTTCCTTTACAGGAGAATATAACGAGTGAGAGACGGGGGCGAGGCCAAGCGAAAACTCACACGTCAAGTCCATCACACCCATCAGATCCACGTTACTCCCGGAGATCTCGGAGATCAGTATTCTGCCTAAAAAAACTCCTACTTCCGTACGAGACACGATCTACGAAAGAAACCCGCCGTACATATTGATCGCCAGGTAAAACGGCACAAACTCCAAATCTCAAACCCAAAAACCATCCATCGTTCACATCCACAAACAACTTCGCCAATCATCCCTACTCCGGGATATATCGAGTATTCAGATTTCAGAATATTTCTTTCTCCTTGATCCAGCATGGAACTTCACTAAGTCATGTAACTTTCAACCCTCTTGAAAACATTTCGGCACAACAAATTCTCAAGCAGTCCAAAACAAAGAATTATTGTCTGAAAAATACTCAGCAAAGATCAACATTACATCAGAGTCGCGTCAGATTGGGACGGATAACTCCGGAAAAACGTGTCAAATACTGCTTGGAACAAAATCCTTACACAAAACCATGTTTCAATTTATTGACCAAGTTCGGGTAAGCTTCGGAAGCACACAGACCTCAACCATCTCTTACCACCAAACTAGGCCAAATCCTTCCTCCAATACATCGTTCCGACAAGCAAATATGGAATATCCCTCCAGTACTTCTTCTCAATCGCAAGCAATATGTATGTCGATTGACAGCCCCCATGCTGCAACATGTCTCTGATGGACATTCAATCCGTCTAATTTAGGTCGTCCTACGGTAAACGCAAGAAACACTTGAGAATCCTAACGTGAAAACAAACAAACATCATGAAGATAGAACGCAGAAACGCACAAACAAAAATTGTGAATTTCCCCTAATTATCCGCAGGTAAAACGCGAAAAACAGTACAACAACATGAACGACCAAACTCTGTTTATACTGCGGCGAAAATCATGCCATCAGCATTATCTCCCCCCATGAGTTTCGACAGCAGTGCTAAATAGTAGGGATCCAACAACCAATATCAACTGCACCGTTCGGCACAAATTCTTGATAATTCAAACCATATCGTGAACAAAAAAGCATATCCAATGAAAATTAGCATGATGTTACCACCATGTTCGTGTGCATCGCAACACCAGAAAAGTTATCGC